GCATCGGAATCGGTTAATGTGTCGAAGAGAAATCTATAACGAAAAATTTCAACAAAAGTTATTTTTTAAAATAACTTCCAAATCGATCCTCGCATTGTTATTAAAAGGACATAATAACATATACATAGTAAAGGTTCAGGTTTATACAGATCAATTATTCTATTATTCTATTTTTGTGTTAATTTATTTTTTCCAATTCAGCAACGTTTCGTTAAGTATCGTAACTTCCTCAGGCTTCTTGAAATAAGTTAATTATTTAACCTAGCCGAAAGTAATGCTAGATTTATTGTTTTGACAGTTGTGCTCAATAATTAACTTATTTCAAGAAGCCTGAGGAAGTTACGATACGTAACGAAACGTTGCTGAATTGGAAAAAATAAATTAACACAAAAATAGAATAATAGAATAATTGATCTGTATAAACCTGAACCTTTACTATGTATATGTTATTATGTCCTTTTAATAACAATGCGAGGATCGATTTGGAAGTTATTTTAAAAAATAACTTTTGTTGAAATTTTTCGTTATAGATTTCTCTTCGACACATTAACCGATTCCGATGCAGTTTGCGACAATAGGAGTTGTTTTGTAAGTTTAAGAGCTGATTAGATTTTGGAATCTATTGTTACATTTTTTCAGAAGTTATCTGAAAAAAAAAAATGCTTTTTCGAGAATTCTCAAAATCCAACGGTCCGAATCGGTTCAAATTGTATAGAATACTCGATTTGTGTGCAACTCCTTCGAACGCCGTAAAACTCGTTCAAATCGGTCAAGTCGTCTAAGAGTTATGAAAGGTTCACATACACACATATATGTACAGACATACAGCAATCATCGTAGAAATAGTCAGAACAGCTTCCTAGGACTTCAAAACCTAGATAGGTGATGAGAACTCGATTTTCGAGAATAGAAATGAAACCAATAACTTGCCAATTTTCTAAAAATCCTCGATTTTCATAGTGATAAGTTAAAAGCTATTATTACCAAATTTCGGCGTCACATATCTTACGAGCAAGTTACAAATTTAAATGAAAATTTCGATGAATATATCTAATGAAAATATACTGATTGGTGGTCTAAGCAACAAATATTCACACGCAGTGCTTATTCTATTGATTGATATTCAAAGAACGAATGAGAATAATTCTATAATATTTACTTAGTATTACTTTTTTACTCTATCATAATTTCATAAGCTCATTTGATTTTTACATCTGTATAGCTCATGAAATTCGAAAACTATGAAATTTTTTAAAAATTTACAAAGTTTTACAAATTGTAATTCGTTTAAGCTCGTAGAAGTAATACCACCGTGATCGATTATAAACTTACAAAATTTTATAAACATTCCATACAATTTTATTATAAAAGTGTTAAAATTAATCCTATAGTTTATGGAATTATGTAAAAATGTATTGATAGAACAAAGCTTTTGTGTCAGTATTCTATAGAATTATATGAAATTTGATAGAATTCTATAAAGTCTAGTATAATTTTATGAAAATTCTTAGTCGTATATTATGTAACATTTGACGATATTTTTACAGTAAAATCCCATAAAATTGGATCAATTAATTTTCTTAATTAATAGCCATTGCTTTCGTTGTTTATGGAAATTATATAAAATTTTGAAATTTATCAAGTTTTACGAGTTTCATGAAACTTCATTGAAAATTTTTTTCTTGAACTTGAATTTTTTAAGAAACTCTTAATTAAGCTTTACTTTTTTATTTAAAAAAGATGTTCGTTATTTGAAATTTAAAATTTATCAACTCTAAGAATAGCTATATTTTAATTTTACCTTCCACTATTGATTGGAGCTGCTGTGCTTTCCAGCGTTGACAATTATTGGACTGATGGTGATGAAGATGATGTTGATGGTAGAGAAGATCTCTACAAGAAACAAAGAATTCAAAAATATTTCATTAATTCTAATTTAAAAAATCTCTAAGTACGCATTTATAATTTACAAACGATTGACTCAAAAAAAAAATCAAAATAAAAAATACGATCTGCGGAGTGAATCTTATTTATAATATAAATTAAATCCTCCTCGGAGTGAATTTAACCTCCGGGGAGGGCAAATCAATTGAAAATCATCCGCTTCACATTCACTCGATAAATTTTTTAGTTTATTAAATTTTTGAGTATCTAACTGCCTATGTTTAAAAATTTTTAAAACTTACTTCTTCCAAAAATCCACCAGGAAGGAACCGCAGTAATTTATCCTGAGGGTACAATTTCTTATAATTTTGAAGTTTTTTTTTATTCCTCTTGAATATTGCTGTCCGCGACATCCCTCGATTCCCGCTCATTATAAGAATAATTTGGTACCTGAAATAAGATGAGAATACTTTTCATTTCCAACTCCCAGTCATTTAATCTATATATAAAATTGTAAAATTATACGGATTAATTTTATTTTGACAATAAGAAAATAGAAAATTTCCTCTTATAGGAAAAATCTATTTCTTAAAAATGATCAAAATACTGGACTTTGTATACTTATAATTATGTTATTTTTTTTCACTAATAAAAAACCAATTTTGTTGTGAGAGAATGAAGACTGATAAATGTTTTCATTGCTTACACTCATTTCAATAAATACACACCACATGCATCATGATAATTTTACAAGTAATATTATAATTTTGAAAGATCTATAATCTATATACCATGTTACAGATCCCATGAGGGTGTATAATTATTATATGTGCTTACGGTACCCGGAAACCATAAAAACGAATAAAAAAATTTATTTTCGCAATCTATACAATTGTGATCTAAAAGAATAATGCTGGCTAAAAATTTTAAGTTTTGGAAGAAGATATATTCGTTAGTAAGAAGAAAAATCGAATTTTGAGAAAAATTTTTTAACAATAAAAAAAAACAACATAAAAGTTAGCAGCTACCCTGAAAACTTACACTTGGAAAAAACAATTTAAGATAAAATCCTTCCAAGGGCCTTTTGAAGCTGGCGATTTTTTGTAACACTCCCACAACACCCCCACACAATATAAAAAATCACCAAGCCATTAGCTGCCCCGGAACTACCCCTCCAGCCACCCCAAAGTTTTACCCTTATTATATAAAAATTCAGAAAAAATCGTTACAAAGGCCCTTTGAAGCTGGCGATTTTTTGTAGGACTCCCACAATACCCCGACACAATATAAAAAATCACCAAGGCATTAGCTGCCCCGGAACTACCCCTCCAGCTACCCCAAACACTTATGACATTAAAAAAAAATTCTGAAAAAATCTTTACCGAGGGACCCTTTGAAGCGCAATTTTTTGTAGGACTCCCACAA